ATCCACTGTATAGAAAAGGAAGGAAGGAAGGGAGGGAGGGAGGGAGGGAGGGAGGGAGGGAGGGAGAGAGGGAGAGAGGGAGGGTCTTCCACCTGCTGGTTCAATCCCCAAGTGTCTGCAATAGCCAGAACTGAGTCAGGCCAAGGATGAAGCCAGGATTCTAAAACTCCTTTGGGATCTCCCACATGGGTAGCATGGGCCCAAGTACTCGGGTCATCATCTGCTGCCTCTCAGAGTGCATTAGCAGGAAGCTGGATTGGAAGCAGATGTGATCTGGGATGCAGGCATCCCAAGCAACTACTTAACCAGGTGCATCACAACACCCTCCCTTACTTGGGATCTGCTTAGGACTAGCTCTTACGATCTGAATGAAAGGCAAACTTTAACTTCCAGGGGATTTCCCACGTTCTTCTCACTAAATTTCTCCCTACCCTCCTTCCTCTAAGCTTCTGTTATCCTTCCAGTCTTATGTTTTTAAGTGAGGATGACTAGATTTTAGGATAATGATAAAAAGCATTTAAATTCTTGAGTGTTGTTTTTGTCTAGCCAAAAGATCAAGTAAAGTTGTTTTTTCACTCACCCCATATTTGGTAGCTAAAGAATTTAAATTTTTATATGACCAATACATAAAAATTTTAAGGCCCAGTTGTTCATGTTAGAGATTATAAAAATATAATAGATATTTTGCTACTATACCAGGCTTTAGGCAGAGTTCTAGTCAGACTTGAATCCAGGAAGAACATATTAGCTAACTTATCACACTGAGAGTCATGCTTCTATCCAGCCCAGCTAAATAAGCTGTGACAAATTGCTCTGAGGGTATCATTGACAGAAATCCAAATAAACAGAGAATTACTGTGGGAAAAGCCCAGGAATGGCTCAAGGAAGTTTGGGAACAGCTCATATTTGGTGAAACTGTCATAGAAAATAGAAACAAGTGACAAGACTGGCCTTCGATTGACTTCTTTCCATGAAACATGTTCTTTTTTCCATGCTCCTTTTGTCATTTGGTATTTAGAGTGCAAAAAAATTCATTATGATTGAGAAAATATGTCACAGGTCAAACACAAAGAGAAACTTGAGTCTTTGCTTTTGAGTTTCTTGTCTTAAGGAAAAACTGGGCAGGCGCTTGGCATAACAATTAAATTGCTGCTTGAGATGCCAACATTCCATATCAGAGTACCTGGTTCCAGTCCTGGCTATTCTACTTCTGATCCAGCTTCCTGCTAAAGTGCATCCTGGGAGGCAGCAGGTGATGGCTCAAGTGGTTAAGTCCAGGCCACCCGTGTGGGAGACCCTGATGGAATTCTACGCTCCTGGCTTAGGTTTGGCCCAACCCCAACTGCTGTGGGTTTTTGAGGAGTTAACCAGCAGATGGAAGATCTCTGTTTATTTCTCTGAATTTCTTCTTTTCAACTATAATAAAAATAAAAAATAAAGAGAAAATTAGTGATGATTTGAAAATACTTAGTAAGAGATTAAGTTTCACCCTGGTTGGAATAATGGGTTCATGGATAAAAATTTATTCTCCAGGGGCTGGCGCTGTGGTGTAGTGGGTAAAGCCACTGCCTGCAGTACCAGCATCCCATATGGACACCAGTTTGAGTCCCAGTTGCTCCACTTCCGATCTAGCTCTCTGCTATGGCCTGGGAAAGCAGTAGAAGATGGCCCAAGTGCTTGGACCCCTGCACCTGCATGGGAGACACAGAAGAAGCTCCTGGATCTTGGCTTCAAATCAGCACAGCTCCGGCCATTGCAGTTAATTGAGGAGTGAACCAGCAGATGGAAGATCTCTCTCTCTCTCTCTCTCTCTCTCTCTCTCTCTCTCTCTCTTTCTCCTTCTCCTTCTCTCTCTGTGAACTCTAAACTTTCAAATAAATAAATAAATCTTTAAAAAATTATTCTCTATTGTTGCTTAGGTTGGTCAGTCACATTCTACTTCAGCCTTTTAGAATTATAAAAACATCATGGGGCTGGCGCTGTGGCGCAGTGGGTTAATGCCCTGGCCTGAAGAACCGACATCCCATATGGCCGCTGGTTTGAGACCCGGCTGCTCCACTTCTGATCCAGCTCTCTGCTGTGGCCTGGGAAAGCAGTAGAAGATGGTCCAGGTCCTTGGGCCCCTGCACCGGCGTGGGAGACCCGGAAGAAGTTCCTGGCTCCTGACTTCAGGTTGCGGCCAACTTGGGAATGAACCAGCGGATGAAAGACCTCTCTCTCTCTCTCTCTCTCTCTGCTTCTCCTCTCTCTGTGTAACTCTGACTTTCAAATAAATAAATAAATCTTTAAAAAAAAAAAAAGAAATCTTTCTTTTAAAAATCAGTGACTTTCTCCTGAGGAAGAAATCTTGGGCAGAAGATGAGAAGATACGACTAGTAGACTTTAGATAAAGAAGAAGATCTCAATTAATTAAGCAGACTTAATTGCTGAGCAAACGTCTGCTTCATACCCCCGCATGAGGTTATTAACATACTGCTATTGATGAAGAAGAAATTCATTTTAATGAATACTTAAATGTGCTGAATATAAAGCCTTTGGGTAGGAAAACTTTATAAAACAGATAGACTCCGGTTTTTCCCAAGTATCAAACTCAAAGCCAAGATTAGTTTAGCATAAGTTGCCTAAATTACTTAGAACTGTCATCCATTCAGATGATTTTATTCTATTTTTAATGCCTAGTTCTAGAAAAAGAATTATTTGACATTTAAACAAGATCACGTCTTGGGTGAAATTAAAACATAACGCTTAGAAGCAGTTCCCTGAGTTGTTGTTTCACCCCCGTTCTTATTTCCTTCCACTTATGTCGGTAACATTGCAAAATGAGAGCTTGTGTTCAGCATGATGGGCCTCCAGGTTGGCTGACAGATGGGAGAATAGGGTCACCCACTGGACAGGTGATCAACCACTCCAGGTGAAGTTCTTCCCACTCAGTCTTGACCACTTCCTCCCAGAAGCCTTCTTGATGATGTATTCCAGTGTGGCAGGTAAGAGCATAGAGCTGGGGTCAGACAATCAGGCTCAAACCCTCCTCTGGTATTTACAAAATCTCTTTGTACCACAGATTCCTCACTTGCTGAGTGAGGGTGGCAAAATGCTATGGGGATTACACACATTAGTACATGTTAGAACAATGCCTGCCACACACACGATTTCATCGGTAAGCATAAGTTACGCTGTTTGTAGCCTTGACCGCTTTGAAAGGTGTTGATCTTCCTGCTAGCTAAGTGCTCCTGGAGAGCGGGAACTCAGCATTGTCACTCCAGAGCCTAGCACAGTATCTGATTCTTCAGAGGTATCCATGAAGCACTTGCTGAAAGTTTAGTCACTGGGGAACCAGTGTTGTAGTGTAGCAGGTAAAGCCGCTGCTGCAATGGTTGCTCCACTTCCCATCCAGCTCCCCACTAATTGCCTGGAAAAAGCAGTGGAAGATGGTTCAAGTAGTTGAGCTCCTGCCCCCAACATGGAAGACACCAATGAAGCTGCTGGTTCAGCCCTGGCCATTGTGGCCACCTGGGGAGAGAATCACTGGATGGAAGACCTGTCTCCCCTCTCTCTCTCTGTAACTCTGACTTTCAAATAAATAAATAAATAAATCTTAAAAGAAAGAAAAAAAGAAAGATGGTTTTCAGTTAGCAAATGGGGTTTTCCAAGTGACCATAAAAATTCAAATAACAACTAAATGTTTCCCAAGTGTCAAGTTATTTGAGGTTGTTCTCAGGAGTGGGAACTACAACCACCATTTGATTCTCAAAAAATCTGTTGGTGACTCTTAAAGCAATTTTGCAATAACAGAAAGAGGATTTCCTGGTGGGAAGAAAGTGGGCTCTGTAGTTGCATAAATCCAAATCTCTAATCCACTTTCAAGTGTGTGAAACTGCTCAGTTTCTTTGAATCTTGGAGCCCCAGTTCTTTTCACCCGTGAAAGCGGGTTGTAATGCCCATCACATAGGTGTAGTCATGAGGAAGCTTCCTGGCACAATGCCTGTCACTGTGGCACATGCTGAATTTAGATCAGATCCCTGCCTCTACCCGGGGAATCCAGTCCTACTCCCATGACAAGTCAGGGAAGCACCATGTCCATAGACAGTGGCAGCGTCTGCCATCATCAAGCTGGATTCTGTTGGTGTGGGAACTCATAAGCCACAGGCAGGTCTACAGCTGGAGACAATGAGGTCTTCGGTGCATTTAGCACTTGAGATTATTTCTGACACTGCTCAGCCCTGCTGTCAGCTAAGGGAAGCAGCAAGGTTTCCATTCATCGGAAAGAATCCTCTGGGGAGTTAGATTTTAGTTACATCCTTTTAAAAAGTCATACTTTCGGGGCCGGTCCTGTGGCACAGCACGTTAACGCCCTGGCCTGAAGCGCCGGTATCCCATGTGGGCACCAGTTCAAGTCCTGGCTGCTCCTCTTCTGATCCAGCTCTCTGCTATGGCCTGGGAAAGCAGTAGAAGATGGTCCAGGTCCTTGGGCCCCTGCACGCACGTAGGAGACCCGGAAGAAGCTCCTGGCTCCTGGCTTTGGATCAACGCAGCTCCGGCCATTGTGGCCATTTGGGGAGTGAACCAACGGAGGGAAGACCTTTCTCTCTGTCTCTACCTCTCCTTCTCTCTGTGTAACTCTTTCAAATAAATAAATCTTTAAAAAAAAAAAAAGTCATACTTTCTCACTGCCAGATCCAGTACAGTTCTTGAAAGTTTTGTTTTTGTTTTTACTTTTAGAGAGAGAATTGATTCCCAGAATATTAATAACAAAAAGCAGAGAATAGGGTTGTAACCAGGAAATCCTCCTTCTGAATCTGGTATTGGTGTGTATGAACTATCTCTCACCATTTCTGAGATCGGGAGAGACCATGGCTTAGGGTTTTTATGTTGGAAATAAGTCCTGCTCCCAACCCTAATGCTGGCAGCCAGTTTGTGAAAGCAGAATGTTTGACTCAAAATGAGTGGATTGGTTAGTTTGATCCGGTTCCAGAATCCATCACCATCATAATGGAAAGATTCACATATCAAGCGATCAAGTGGAGAAATAACTACAACAAATCTTCTCCAGTGTGGAATTTCTAATTCTCTGATTGAGGTGGGCATGAAGTTTAACCCTGCTGGTGTCTTTATTTATTGTAAAAAGACTGTATATTTTTATTTTTTCTGTTGGTGTTCTGTCTACACAACCCCCCCCCCCCGCCCCCGAATTGAATGGCTTTCTTTATGGCCTACGGAAAATTAATGTCTTCCTAGAAAGAACTTTGGAATCATAAAGAGTGCAGTGCTCCTTGGCTGTGTGGTCTCTCTGAGATTGAAGGGAGCAAAAAACTGAACAAGAAAGACTCAGACCCTCTCTCCCTAGGGCTTTGTTTTCTAATTCTAAGGCATTTTTCTCTTTAATGGAGTTATAACCATGAACAAGAAAGCAAACACTGCATTTACAACTGCAGATGATTCCAGTGGCATAATTTTTAATATGTCAAGCAAGCAGTAATTTTTAGTTAATTTTTAACCTGCTACTTTCAAGGTCACTGGAAAATCAGTTAAAAGGTTACCCAAGAATGCTGTGATTTACTCCTAATTACGTTCAATGCAAATTTCTGGTCTTCCTGAGGAAGCTGAGTGCCTTGGACACAGTGGACTTCTGGTCGGATGCAGGTCTGTCCTCACATTGTTTCAGATGGAGTCTTGGAGCCGTGGGCCTCTGGCTGCAGCAAAGGAAGTGCACTGCCCTGAGCAGGTGGGTGTTTCTAACACCCTAGCTTTTATGGTGGACATGAGCTCCCAGATACTGTTCTTTTCTGTTATACTAAATTGTAGCTGATTGACAGGCCTTACTCAAATTCCTTAATCTTTTCTAGTCTCACTGATTGAAAGAAAATTTAAGGCCAGCGCCGTGGCTCAATAGGCTAATCCTCCGCCTTGCGGAGCTGGCACACCGGGTTCTAGTCCCGGTCGGGGCGCCGGATTCTGTCCCAGTTGCCCCTCTTCCAGGCCAGCTCTCTGCTGTGGCCCAGAGTGCAGTGGAGGATGGCCGAAGTGCTTGGGCCCTGCACCCCATGGGAGACCAGGAGAAGCACCTGGCTCCTTGCTTCAGATTAGCGCAATGCGCCAGCCACAGTGCGCCAGCAGTGGCAGCCATTGGAGGGTGAACCAACGGCAAAGGAAGACCTTTCTCTCTGTCTCTCTCTCTCTCACTATCCACTCTGCCTGTCAAAAAAAAAAAAAAAAAAGAAAAGAAAATTTAAACATTATCCACTATAATTGTTTGTGAGGGGTAAATCACGCCAGGAGGGGAGGTCTCAGGGTGGCCTCTAATACAATAAATGCTAGTGCTTATCTATGAGATTCTAGTCCCAGTCATCCAGGAAACTGCAAGGGCTATAGATCACCGATAAAATAAAAGCTCATAATGTCAGATCATGTTAATTTTTAAATTAATAATTTGTTGAGCATCTGTACAAAAGGAGTAAGCAATTTGAAGCTTATTTTAAGAGAATAAGGAGAGATCAATGAAATAAATGTAGTTAAATAAAGTTGCACACAGAATTATTTTCTTAAGGAGTTACATTGTTTGACAGCACATTGTAAATATTAAGTTGTATAAGACAATTCATAAATCATCCTTATCTGCCCCTTATTCAAATCTTTCTGGCCACCTACTGTAGGAAACACTTGGTCAGTTTAGTTAGATCCTGTTTACAATACATGCTGTCCACACACATATTTTTTTCCATTCAGATGTTCCACTAATTCATTTAGATTCTTCTCTCCATAGTCTGAATTAGTGAACATTTACGGTACATATTTTTTAAAGAGTTGAAGTGATCTCTGCATTGCAGCTCATCATGACTCAGTATCCAGATCACTTGAGTCAGCATTCCAAGGCAAGCTTTCTCACTTAATCCTTGGCCTGCCCTTTCTTACTGGAAATGTTGCTTAATGCACACAGACCATGGGCCTTGTCATTTTTAATGCTTAACACCACAGAGCATTAAAAATGAGGCACATTTTCTCCTACTTCATTTTCAATAGTCAAGCATTGAGCTTGCTGTTTGGATGCCATGAGGTAGGGCTAGGCACTCATTTCAGGGATGTGTTTCTCAGTCACTCAGGAAATCACAAGGATCAATGAATTGTTGCCAATTTTCATGCTGGAAAGTTGAGTGTTGCTATAATGAATACAGAAGAATGTGGAAGTGGAAGTGGCTTTAGGATTTCGTAATAGGCAAAGGCCAGAAGTATTCTGAAGCATTAATAGAAGAAACCCAGGTCACTTTTAAGAGTTAGTAGAAGCAGATATCAAAGGCAGTTCTGTTGAGGACTCCGAGGAAGCAAGGTGCGCTACAGAGAAAGCTCCTATTGCCTGAGAACATGTATGTACCATGTACAGAATCATGAACGCTAAATGTGCCTCTGCTCAGATCTCCGATGGGAGGAGCAATGTGTTACTGGACACTGAAGGCAAGGCAATCTCTGTGATAAAGCAGCAGATACCTGTGCTGCTGCTGGGAGAATGTTGTAAATGATGATGAACTCGGCTGTTCAGCTGAGAAGGCTTCCAAACAAAATGGGAAGGTGAAGCCTGCTTTCTCTTTGCTGCTTGCAGTAAGACGTGAGCAGACACAGATGGATTGAAGAAGGAACTGCTAAGGAAAAAGGAACTAACACTTGATGGTTTGGAAAATCGTCGGCCTTTCCAGAGAGTGTATCTGGAATCAGCCAGGTATGACTTGGCAAGCGTTTCCTAACTAACTGAGGTCTGTGACTCGTCGATCCAATCGACTCTCAGTGGACTAGAGGGATGGAGACAGAGTTGTTCAGGAAAGATCTGTGGAGGGCTCTAAAGTGAGATCTTGGAACTCTAAACTGCATGGGAGGCTGACAAAGTTTTTGAGAATTTTATATCGGCGAGGCATTTGCCGGTCTCTACTCGAAGAAACAAAACAAAATCAAGAAAGGGTAACTTAAAGGCCATATGCATGGAGACAGAGGTTTGGCTTGACAGGACCCCCTTAGGTGGCAGGGCTACAACCCCAGTGGGCTGATGGAAAAGGGCTGCTGCCCTGGTAGGCACAGAGGGATTATTCTCAGACCTTGACATCTAATTGAACTTGCCCTCCTAAATTTCAGACTTGTTAGTGACCCACGCCCCCTCTTGTCTTTCCAATTTATCCCTTTTGGAGTGGAAAGTCTGCCCCACACTATAAACTGGAAGTTGTGAACAGGTTCACAGATGGAGAGGTACTGTACCCCAGGATGAATCACACAGAGACTCATCTACTACTGGTTTAAATGAAACATGGGACTTTGAGGTGATGATATTTAGATGAGATTTTGGACTGAGAGTTGGTGCTGGAATGGTGTGAGATGAGTGAATGCATTCTACATATGGGAAGGACATGAATTTTGGGAGGTCAAACTGAGGTCTTTTATGGGTTGAATGAGAACTCCAGAAAGATATGCTGAAATCAAATCTTCAGTAGCTTGGAATGTGACCTTATTTGAAAATGAGTTCATTGTTAAGATGAAGTCGTATGGAATAGGGAAAGTCCTTAATCTAATAACCAGTATCCTTATCAGAAATGTAACAGAGGGGCTATTATTGTGGCATAGTGGGTAAAGCTGCTGTCTGCTATGCTGGTATCCCATATGTGTGCCAGTGCAAGTCCTAGCTGTTCCACTTCCCATCCAGCTCCCTGCTAATGTGCCTGGGAAAAGCAGTAGAAGATGGCCCTAGTGCTTGGGCCCCTGCAAGATCTTCCATCTGTTGGTTCACTCCCTAAATGGCTGCAACAGCTGGAGCTGAGCCAATCCGAAGCCAGGAGCTAGGAGCCTCCTCTAGCCTTTCCAAGCAGGTGCAGGGGCCCAAGCACTTGCGCCATCTTCCGCTGCTGTCCCTGACCATTAGCAGAGAGCTGGATTGAAAGAGGAGCAACCAGGACTAGAACCAGTGCCCATATGGGATGCTAGTGATGCAGGCAGAGGATTAACCTACTTCACCACAGTGCCAGCCCTAAAACAAATAAGTCTTTTAAAAAAGTAAAGGAAATGGAGTGGGAACATGGAGACAGACACACAGTGCAAGAAGACAGCCCTGTAGAGATGAAGGCAGATGCAGAGAGGCGCTGACGTTCCTGCAAGCCAATATACACCATTGGTTGCTGGCAAACCCAGAAGCTGGAAGACATGGGGGGCTTGGTTCTCCCTTGCAAAGTCTGGAGGCATATGGCCTGGATGACAGCTGGATTTCAGATTTCTGGGCTCCAGAACTGTAAGACAAATATTTCTGCTGTCCTAACCCACTCAATTTGTGAAACTTTATCACCGCCACCCTAGGAAAACTCAAATAGATCTGATATACCTACATCTAATTTGAATTTTTAATCATTTGCACAAAATATGTGATTAACCCTACAATAACAATTTTTCATTTAAATTTGCTCTGTTTTGGTTTTCTATGGCAAATGAGCTTTAGTTACATGTGGAATGAAACATTCCAGTTTTCATTTGTAGTGGCCCATAGATGTCTTTAGCTAAGTCATGAACATTGGCTATTCCTCACATGGTAGCTGTCTGTAGACTTATTTGCTCACATAACAGACCCTAATGTTAGCTTAGCAAACTGAATGTTACATGAAATCCAGAAATGATGAAGGGCTGCCTAACACTGTCAGGTGATCTTTCTAAGAAAATGGCAACTAAAAAAATACTTTATTTATTTGGAAGGCTGAGTAATGGATAGCAGGAAAGAAAGACATCTTCCATCTGTTGGCATACTCCCTAAACGATTGCAATGACCTGGGCTGGGCAGGAGCCTGGAACTCCATCCAGGTCTCCAACGTGGCAGTTCCCATCTTTAGGTTCCCATCTTTCTGCTGCTTTCCCAGGCTCATTTGCAGGAAGCAGGACTCAAACTGGTGCTTAAACAGGATGCTGGAATTGTAGATGGTGGCCCAACCTGGTGCACCACAACAGTGGCCTCAAACATTGCAGTTTTTGAATAAAAATTTACACATATCCTTGTATCTTAACCATTACTCTATTCATACATTTATTTTATGTTTCTTTTCTCCCTGAGATACTGGTGTTTAT